CGAGTGTACTCTAGCAGAAAAGCTGTGGTCCTTCTTCGCCGTTACAGAAGAGCTCTGAACATGAGGCAATAGTTACCATGGAGGTGACCAGAAATAGCTCAGTGTCCATCCAAAGTTCGCATCCACTCTGTCCTCTGCCATAACCAGAAGGCAACCATTTGGACTCCTAAAACAAAAGTATCTTTCTGCATCTTAAAAAAAAAAAACCCAAAAAGCTCCCTACATCTAACAACACAGCTCAAGATAGCATAATTTAGAGAGGAAAATAACTGTTTCCCTTAAAAACAGGTGATATGTCTGCCGTCATTGTTTAGTTCTGCTCATGTCGCTAACATGCTTAGACATAGGAGTAAAACATACATATATACTACATTTTATTTTGTTTTCTTGAAATGCAAATTAAGTTAAACCGTTACCTTCCATCATAAAAATGTGTATTTTATACGATATAAATCAGCCAAATAACATTTATTTCTGAAATGCTACATTGGTTTTGCACCAGCTGAGGACCTAGCTGTATACAGAGAGACAGACTACTCATGGATAAATTACCTATTTTGTTAATTTTGGTGTCCTGATGATAGTCTTTCTATCTCGTTGCTATTCCCCAACTGAGAAATATTTCACATGTGTGTATATATATAATAATTGCATGTGTCGTTCAGCTCTATATTGTCTTTCAAGATCAGATGTGCTCTCTAAAGCACAAAAAAGTGGTTATTGTCGTTATGCTTCAAGAGAGTTACCTCTACCCAGTCTAATTCAGCTGTAATGTTTGTAATGCTTTTCTCTAGCTTGGTGTGCAAGCTTAATACAAGGACAACTATATTGGCTGCAACAAATCCAAAAGGCCACTATGACCCTAATGAATCTGTCTCAGTCAACATAGCTCTTGGCAGCCCTCTGCTGAGCAGATTTGACCTGGTCTTAGTACTGTTAGATACAAAGAATGAAGAATGGGACCGCATCATTTCATCTTTCATCTTGGAAAATAAAGGTAAGAGTGATCCTTTTAAATTGTATATATATATAATTTTAAATTTTGTCCACTTAGAGTTTAGTTCATTGCAGTCTTTCACATTAATCAGTATTTACCTGTTTATTGTGTGCCTGTTTACATGAGACTCATGATAGGCTTGTCCTCCCAGTAGGAATGAGATAGAGATTGCTAATAAATTCGTAGAGGTGAGTTGTGAGCATGCAGAGTAAACCCCTGTATTCTCTGATCACGTGCCGGGGGTCTCAGCCAGAGATCCTGCACAACACGGCTTCACACACCAGTAATGGAGCTTAGGTAGTTTAGACAGATCAAAACATACGAGCCTCTTACGATGCAGGGCTTGAGAAGTATGCGTTGGATCAGTGTTCCACGTGTGGAGGTCTATGCTCTGGAAACGGAAAGCAGCTCAGTTTTATTTTAGCCAGCCCCTTCTCTGAGCCTTTTAACAATGGTGCTCTGTTCCCCATTACAGAAAAAGCAGTTAGGGAAAACTTCAGCTAGCCTCCTCCCTTTCCAAAATGTTTTCCCGCAAAAGGAAAAAAAGATAAAGCTCAGAATATGGCAGGTAGCTGTTGGCTCCTACAGTGTAGGTAAAACAGTTAGAGGAGGTCTATATATATGATGTGGTATTTTACATCTCAAAGAATAGTGGAGCACTTCACTGCAGTGAATCTGACAGCAGCAATACTGCAGTTACTGGGGGCTTTACCCCAGGCTTTGCTACGGGGCTTTGGATGGCAGCTAAGATTTCACGCTGGGATTTGACCCAAGTCCCTGAGGACGGAGGTGCAGGCCACCCAGTACAGCCCCAAAATAGAGTAAAGCATCTTTTTATATTTACCTGTCTATTTAACAGGAAATATCAGCGAAAAGCTTCATGTCTGTGATGGTAATAAAATTACTGACTAGGCAAGTGGCTCTGCAGGTTTTCCAAGCAAATCAGAAAAGCTGTGGAGCATGGAGAAGATGAAGACCTACTTCTGCCTCATAAAGAGCCTGCAGCCGAGGCTGTCAGAGGAGAGCCACGCGGTGCTTGTGCGCTACTACCAGCGGCAGCGGCAGAGCGGCGCCCGCAGCGCCGCGCGCACCACCATCCGCCTGCTGGAGAGCCTCATCCGCCTCGCCGAAGGTGGGCCGCCGCGCTGCCCTCGGCCTGGCCGCAGCCCTGCAAAGGGAAGGGGGCCGGGGCGTAACGGGGGCTTTTCTGGAGAGACGGGGCAGGTGACGCTTGGATTGTCTTGTCTTTCTCAAGAGGCGTCGGGTGGGAGATGCTGAATGGGGGAAGGGAGGTGATCTTTGCGTGGTCAACATCAGTTTTAGTGTTGAAGTTCTTAGACCCATGATACAAACTAAAGCCACTGGAAGAAATTAGATTAGGAGGAAAAAGCCTCTTAAGTCACAAGTCTTTATTAAAATAAACTCGCGTTTTGTTTTACTTCATCTGATTCCAGGGTTGCCATCCTACTCTGCCTGAGTAAAGGTGTTAAGTACTTGATTCCATCCTAAAATTAACATAGGAAGTTCCACCTCCATATGAGGAAGAATTTTCCTGTGAGGGTGTCAGAGCCCTGGAAGAGGCTGCCCAGAGAGGTTGTGGAGTCTCCTTCTCTGGAGATCTTCCAAACCCACCTGGATGCCACCCTGTGCCCCGCACTCTGGGTGTCCCTGCTGGAGCAGGGGGGTTGGACTAGATGATCTCTGGAGGTCCCTTCCAACCTTAACCATTCTGTGATTCTGTGACTTAGGAGATCAAATTTAGAAAGACAAAAAATATCTAGAAAAAAAATGTGTTTAAATAGTACTGAATTTGCAATACAAAGCAATTAATGGAAATCAAATCTTTTCTGACCAATGATGAAAAATAGACTTATTTTTTGACTTACTGTGATTACATCTACCTATATAGGTAGGTGTTTTTTATGTAGTGCTCTGTAGTGCCCTATCCAACACTTCACACTTTCAACTCTTGCATTTTGAGTATCTTTATTCAAGCCCCGTCAAGCTGTCATTGTAACTATAATCCAACTCACATTACATACTTTATTAGTAAAACTAGGCCTTCTAGTTCCTGTGGAAAATTGACACTAAAATCAAGGGAATTATATTAGTGTTTAAATTAGTCCCATGCAAAAGTGTCTGACAAGCTGAAGAAATCTGAAGAAACATTCTCTCCTTTCTAATACAAAAAGAAAAAAAAAAGAGAGATTTTTTGACTGTGGTAATGCATATCTTCAATGCCCATTTATTTTTTAATTCTGCCAGCTCATGCCCGGCTGATGTTCAGAGATACGGTGACTTTGGAGGATGCTGTGACCGTGGTGTCGGTGATGGAATCTTCCATGCAGGTAGGACTTCTTGCAGCAACTGCTGCAGAGCCAAGCTAAGGCATTCAGGTCATCATGCGGCTCCGTGCCAGCTCCCTTCACCTCTTGGAAGGAACTTGCACAAAATTAACCTATCATAGACCTCAAGAAGCTGTTTTTAGTCCGTCCTGATTATTAAAATCCTTAAATACAGATTATACTGAGAAATCTAGATAGGTGGTAGATAAAGGATGCGCACCTCTATTTTTACAGACCTTTTTATTCTAGCTGAAGTTTTGGCGTATTGTCAGCTTTTTGCTGCATTTTAAAGACCTTTTGACCCAAAATTGTGTCTATGTGGCTATTGGGTCTAGTAGCCTCTAATAGATTTTTCTCCCATGATGTTATCTTGCCCCTTATTGATCAAGTATGAGAGAACCAAATAATCGTGGTTTTTGAGGAAGTTTCAGAATAGTGCAGTTTCCGTGCGAAGTGCTACACTTTATTTTGCCAAACTTTTAGAAGGCAAATTTTACTTTTGAACATTAGAAGTTCAAAACACTGGTTGCCATATACTGAAAGTCATGCATAGCAGTTGTGTCACAAATTTGTGGAATGTTTCCATGCAAAAAGACATTGAAACAATGGAGGAGGCCAGGTTAGTTTTCTATAAAGTCATTTGGATGCTGATAATAACAAAAGAGCAACACGCTTAGAATGAGTGCATAGAAATGAATTTGGTAGTTTGTTTTTTTTAATAGAAATGTTGAACATCATACAGACACTGTATTTCAGGTAGAATGCTTTTAAGGGAAATCTTCGTGCTTCAGAGTAAAAAATAAATCATCATAAGCAGATTATCCAAAGTTTTCTGCAGGGGGTTTTTTAGCACTTCTGAAGTATTTGGCTGTGGCTCTGTCAGAGACTGTGTACTCCACTGAATGATCCAAAATGTTATTTCCTGTGTTTCTGTGGAGATTGATATGAATGTATTCATATTAAAGCAATTTCATTTAGTGCCTGTTACTTGAAGGACCTCAAGGACTTTGTAGGAGCAGAGGCTGCTCTCTCCTCTGAGACAAAGCTCTTCAGGATAGACATGCAAAGCTGCAGCTCACACACAGGCCACAGGATCTGCCTTTTTCTTTCAATAAAGGTTGAGACTAATTGCAAAATGTGCCACTGATAATCTGCTTCACAGGGTTGCAAAAGGAATTTGTCTCAGAAATATTACAGATTATTTCACTGTCTGCTTCAGTTCATCTTGCGCTGTTTGAAAGAGCTAAGCTTTTCAATGACAGTACTGCATCTGAGTTGAAATGAGAAGCTACAACCCATAATATATCCCCCTGAAACAGCAGAACACATTACAGAAATGTTAATTAACTATAATTAAGCGTGGATTGGAATTTGATGGGACACTGGTTTCAAGGCAGTATGGTTTTGGATATATGTGAAATACGTGATTTTTTTTTTTCATAACAGATCAGTGGAGGCTAATGAATGTATATTCTCTGTGTCCCTGCCTCATAAACATTAATAAATGTAAAACAGTTGTTTTAACTGTAGCCCATTTTTTCATACTTGTACAGAACTACCACCCAAAACAGTAATTTGTATGATGAGTATCTCTCTCATAAAAATCAGTGGGAAATCTGCATGAATTATGACTGCAGAAGTGCCGTGTTTACTCCACTGTCCACTTTTTATGAGCAAGGAGGCAAATGTGTTTCACCTTTGCTAAGAACATGCAAATTTGAACTTTGATTAACTTGAGACATATTTAACAGCTGTAAAGCATAAATTAATCCTGGAAAGAGTTTCTTTTTGAAGGAAGTAATTTGTTTTATTATAAAATAGAAGTAACAAAGAAAAATTAATTTTCAGCAAATGAATCCTTCTCTAGAAAAAAATCCTTTTATATCTAGATTAATCTCCTGTGTGTGTCTGTCTATCTATCTATCTATCTGTATGTATGTATTTATGTATGCGTGCAGGTATGTACCGAGAGCACGAGCCCTAGATAGATCCATTTTTCATCCTGGACCTGATATGGTTTGGTTGTTTTTAAACCAGCTCCTGGTTACAGTGTCCTAGAATTAACATTGCCCATTGCACTAGAAGCTGAAATATCCACCTCCCTCATACTTTATACTCTGCCTCCGATTTTTTTTTTCTTAAGCCTCCTTTTGACTAGAATTTCCTTTCTTTTTTTCCATGTATGGTTCAGTTTCTCTGTTGCCTTTAAGAGTGAGGGAGGAAACGAGGAAGCACCAGTGACACTCTGGAAGGGCTGCCTGCCTCCCTTCATGGAGCAAGCTCTGTCCTAATCCCAGACTTTTTAACCTCTACAAAACAGCATCCTCTGGCCAATGCAAAATCACAGCTTGTGGTTCTCTGATGGAGATTCCTCGATCAATCCTTGCGAGTCCTCTTTGGAAGTTGGCAACCTGTCCTGTTCTGGTCACTGACTTAGTTAACTGATTTTTGTTTGGTTTTGCCCTCTAATCCACCTTGTATTCTCTTTCCTATTTATTGAGCATCACCTAATCCCCCTCACTTGATCTCTTCTTTGTCCCATACCCTCTTTGTTAATTGTTGTCTTCTTTCTTTTCCTGGTCGTATTTTCATCCTTGTTTTATTTCCCTTCTATTCTTTCTCCTTTTATTCTTTTTTTTTCCACTCCATGCTTACTCTCTTACGTACTTTTACCCACTTCCTTTCTGCCAACTTTAATATATAAATGAAACTAATTGTGATGGTAAGGTAAAGCGCCAAAACATCAAGGAGAGAGAAAACATCAATCCATCCACATAGTGGATTTCCTTTAGGATTCTCAGAACGCCTCAAGGTCAGCACATGATCCTTGTTTTTTGCCCTGGCTGCTTGTGAGGCCTCCCAGGCTCACAGTGTTCAGTCCAGAAGCAGCTCTTCGCGTCAGTGTTTTGCCAAATGTGTCACTTGCTACGTGTCGGTCAGATGCTGCTCCAAGGACAGAATTGTCAGGCTTTGCTGTGGCTTTCTGTGGAGTCTCCTTTGGATGTGGGTGTCTCAGAAGTGTTAATTCAGTCATCTGCACATAGTCCGGATGAAGCGATGGCTGATATTAAATCGAGAAGAAATTGTCCCTTGGAGGAGGGCAGTGGTACCTCTGCCATGGTGCCTCACGAGACGCAGTGGGACCTCGGTCTCAGAGCAGAGACACTTGGACTCCTGCAGCACCCAGACACCTACAGGTGTGTCACCTGGGACAAGCTTTGCTCAGCTGGCTTGCTCTGGAGCACACGCACCACAACATGGAGTCACAGATAAAATGTCACTCTCCTTGGCAGCGTGCAACTCTCCTAACCAGGAGACCACGTTTTCTACAGTCTAACTCACTAACTGTGCGCACCCTTTTTCCCGGAATAAATAAGGCAGAGGGGTCCTACAACAACCCCCTCCACTACTACAGATTAATGCAGCTAGAATGTGAAACAGTTCTGTCGTATCCTTGAATGACATGATCACGTGGAGAAAAACCCAAGTGATAATTTAAATGGGCTGCATAAAGGGCTACACAGGCAGCCTTCAGATTAGCACTCAGTAGTTTTAGAGGGCTCAGCTTAGCCACCTGAATGATATTCTTCCAATGTGAGATTTTTTTAATACGAAATTTTAAACCTGAAAAACAGCTAAATAAATTTCCATACGGCATCATAGACCTAGCGATTCACTGCACCCTTGTTTTCCTCATGGTCCTTGATACGCATCTTGTTCATTATTTGTAGTGAGCTTTATAGATTAGACGGGAATGGTAATTGATATAAAATCTGTGACAGAATAAGGTTTTTGTTTTCTCAAGAGAACAATTAGCTACAGAGCTTTTCTAGAATATTGGTTGTAGAACAAATCATGCGCAGGTGCTCGGTTCCAAATAAAAAAAAAAATCTGTTCCAAAATTTCTCACAGGAGGCAGAAAAACTGTTCCAGATTAAAACCACTTGCACTCTGGAAGTATTCCTGGATAGCTAGGGTTATTCCTAAAGAGCTTTTCAGAAATGTTTTTGCAGGCCAATTTCTCTGGTGTTGACAGCCCCAATACTCAGATCGGTCCATTTAAATAATTAGAAGAAGCTAATGAAAAACTATAGCAGTCAAACCTGCTTTTGTTATAGAAGTTACGCAGATGGCAGAAATTTTACTCCTAATACCCAGTTTCTAAATGATGTGCTCAGGCCTTAGGTGGACATCCTATTTTTTGTACAAGCCTACAAAAAGTAACAATAAACTGCAGGTTTGATCATTCAGTTGCTTTACACTTATGGCCAGTTTTGCCCATGTGAGCAGACCCAATGGGCTTATCTAGGTAGTACAGTTAGTTACTCATGAAATATTTTAAACCTTTAGTTTTAAAATGTCTTTGGATAAACTTTGTGTATTTTTCCTCTGCTGTTTAATCTGATTCTGACTGACCAAGTTTCCTGTTCCCTCTCCGTTCCGGTGGCACAGGGGGGAGCCCTGCTGGGAGGCATCAATGCCCTGCACACCTCCTTTCCCGACAACCCCACGGCTCAGTACCGGACCCAGTGCCAACTCATCCTGGAGCAACTGGAGCTGCAGAATCTTCTGCACGAAGAGCTGCAAAGACTCGACAGGTTATAAAACGCACAGGAGCAAAAGAATTTAATGGAGAAAGAGAATTATTTGACAATAATACCTGGAGAGAGTCTAAAAATAGAATCTGATATCGGGAAAGGGCTTATCCTTTAGAGGACATGAATAAGCAGGGAGACTGATTTGAAGTAGTACTCTGAGATCATAACAAGATCGTTTTTCACGCTGAGTTTACAAACAACTGAAGAACATTTTATTGAGTTCCCAACTCAGGTCTCATTTCTGTGGCCCGATAAGTTTCACCTGAGCTTATTAGGGCCAAAATGGCAGATTGAGTAGCCGAGAACATCATTTTATATCACCTTTCTTTACTTGCATGGTAAAACAGAGCAGATCTGCTTTATATTTTTAAGCTTTCCTTTGCACTGGGCTTATCACTATCCTTGCCTTTCCGTTAGTGGAAAATATAAGCTTGAATCAAAGTTCTTTTCTTCTGGGTGATTTTTCATTTTAGCATGCTGGAATTTTCACTGACTCTTTTGTAGTTTCAGGTCACTCCCATAATCTTTGGAAAGTCTATTTCTGTTAATAGAAAAGTTCTTTTAACTTGCTGAGGCTGCGAGAAGAACAGTAGGATTGGAAGGAAATAAGATACAAAAATAACACTGTTTCCTGAAATGAGATTAATCTCTAAAGAAACTCATACTTTCTTATTGTTAAAGGAGGATAAAAGATTGATTCTATTAAAGCTAAAGGAATGAGAACCACTGGGAAAATACATTTTTTTTTCCTTGAAATACTTTTAGATCTGTTTTGTAATTCATAGTAAGGACATCTTAAATAAGCAGAGAGGCAAAAAAGGCATGTGAAAGTCAGATATCTCCAACAGACAGACCAAAGCTAGTTTTAAAGCAGAGGTGTGTTCCTAAAGGATCATAGACACGTAGGGTGGGGAGGAAGATCAAATAAAAAGACAAGATCAAGTCTGTCTTTGACCTGCCTGGCAGGGACCTGCTTATCTGCTCCTGAGGCCCTCTAATGAAGGAGGTTTCCCATGGCCACTGGATAGCCCTTCCATTACTGCTCCGTCCTAACGCTCCAAAAGGTTTTCCCCATACGCCCCTGTGCTGCAAATGAAGCTCATTTCTTCTTCTGCCTTCCAAAGCAGCTTGGAGAATACCCAATGTCCTCTTTAAAGCAACCTATTCTATGTTGGGCTTGTCACATGCCTTCCTCTTAAACCTTAGTTTTCAGTATTTTCATAAAACCAGCATGGATCTTTCAGTCCTTCCTAGTGAGTCTGATCATTCCTATCCATCATAATTTTAAATGTTTTCTATTTGAACAAACTCAGAAATAAATGCTGCTAATGATTCCAAGAGCTGCGTGTGCATACAGGGTGTTCCCTCTCACATAACAAGGCAGAATCGCTGCACGTGCGCCCAAGCGCGCTCGCTCCTCAGTGCCACGTGGCTGCTTCTCACTCATGGTCAGAATCACTCCTCAGCAAACCAGAAGAATGCAACATCCCTTGGAAATGGGTATCTTTAGGGACAGTGAGCAGAATATAATCCATACCCAGATTGGAGGGAACCTTTTGTTGTAACACGTTTATTGTTTTGGAGAGCCCCCAGAATATTGATGGGAAGAGACAGTGGTGACTAGGTTTTGTGGGTGACCTGGGATGCTTTCTCTCTATTACATGGGGGATTGATATGCTGGCACTATAGTGATTCTGAAAGAAGACCACCAGCAATCACTCTTCCAGGTAATACCTGGCTTTCCATCGTGGCAGGTTGTCTGAGACTTGGCCCTGCTCATGGTAAACCTGGGAGGTTCTCTATTCCAGAAGATACGCTGACAGAATATATAGTAACTATGGGACTCTAGCAGTGGATGTCACTCATACAATGCTGTTTTTAGCTTGGTTTCTCACAGAAATGAAGTTTATGTAATTGCTGTCTTTGTCCATACGCCTGTCTCCTACTGGGGACAGTGAATTCTGCCTCTTGATATAGAAGGTGCTGAAAGATCGAAATGAGGTCAGCATTTGCTACACCAGCTTTCATAGAAAGTCTCATGTAAGACTTAATAATTCAATTATGTATCCTAAATAATTTGTAGCTTTTCTCCATTCATGCACATTAAGTATTGCTATGACAACAGAATAAGGAAAAAAAAAAGAAAAATGAAATACTATTAGTTGTTTTTTTTTCATTCTGTAGATTACAGAAAGACTCATGCCAGCAACAGCCTGATGAGACGAGTTTCCATACTACTCCAAGACCCTTGAACAAGGAGGCATGTGGGGAGCCAAAGCAAGTATGTGAGTCAGAACCTTCAGATCAGCAAGAGAAGCTACAGTCTTCCTTGGACAAAGGCAAATGTGGAGGGGAAACACATCTAGAACCCTTATGCAACCCGGCATCTGGTAATGGCAGAAACACAAAACACCTGATGAAGCCTAGTAAGGAAGGTGGTGATGGCAGCCTGGCCTGGTTTGACAGCTTGGAAGAGAACAGCAATGACGCTGAAGGAACTTTGCAGAAAAGGTCTCCATTGCTCAAGACAGCTCCAGGTGACTTGGCTTCCAAACCCCTGAGTGAAAAATCCTACTCAGGAGAAAGAAATGCCTCAATGCCAAGCAATGGGGGTGGAATGAGAGAATCACCAACAACTGTGAGTCTTCATGCTCATTTGGAACAGGACAAAGTTCCCAAGATAAGCAGGAAAAGGACTGAAGAACGTGAATGTTTTTCTTCAGAAGCAAGTATTGAAGACCCAGCATCTCCCAGGGTGAGCGTGCAGGACTCGGTTATTACACAGCATGTTTCTAAGAGGTGGCAGAGGCTGCACACAGAGAGATCACGTGGGTTCTTTACAAGCACACAGGACCCCAAGGCCCCGGTGCTTCCTTCAGTGCTGTCTGCATCTGGCCTGCTAGATCTGTCAGGTGATGTGGATCCTGTGTTAGAGGAGGAAGAGAACAGCAAATCTGCAACAGCAAAAAAGGCAATAATTTCCCTGAGAAAACGAAATAAAGATGAAGCAGTGAAGGAAGCAAAGGTAGTAAGTTCCTGTGAGCTAGAAATCATGGACAGAGAAGGACCTCCAGCAGCTAAACTAGCTAAATTTTCTTTCAGACCAAGGACAAGACTTGGTCATTCCTCTGAGAAGGAGTGCAGGCTTTTACAGAGTGAAGCTATTAAGCCTGGAGAGCAGCTCCAGGGAGAGCATCTGGGGGAAGAACATTGCTCCTCTGAGAAATGCAAACCAAAGTCAACTTGCTTAGGAAAAAATAATTTGGAAAAGGAACCTACTGATAATACTGGGAAAGGGGAGCAGCAGTGTAAGGCCCTAAGAAAAGAGATGAGAGGAAGTGCAGTAATGCACTCAGATGTCAGTTTTGATGCTGCATCACTTCTACCCGCTGAAAAGAAGAGGGAGGGAGAGGAGCAAGCTGGTGGCTCGAGCACAGAGAAAGTGTGTTCCAGCACATTAGCAAAACTGTCCAGGTTCTCCTTTGCATCACGCCCTGAATCAAAATCTGAGAACCCTCCTGCAGGGGAGACTGACAGGAACAACACGGGAAGCCATAGCCCATTGCGGAAGGTGCCCGTGAGCAATCCCAGCAAAAGGAGGAGTTTTGCCTTGGGAAATGCCAGCGACACCAGCATGGTCACACGAAAATCTCTCTTCTCAATAGCAGAGCTAGATGATGCCACATTAGATTTTGATTGGGATGAAGAGATTAGGAAAAACCCAAGATCATAACATGTATTTTATCTGAATTACATAACACGTTGTTTTTCTTTATCCTTCTGTCAATTGTATCAGCAGTATCAAAAGTATACGGAGGATTTAAAAAAATAATTTATCTGGGACCTCTGTTTATATAAACGAACATATACTTTACATCAACTAAGGACTGTGTACACTGCAAGCCTAATATGACTTTTAGTTTTCTGAATTACTCCTCAAACTGCTTATGGCAGTTGACTGTTTGGATTGACCTGATGTAACCCGAAGGCTCATCCGTTTATGCTGCATATCCCACGTACGGTGAAGCTTGCAGAGGAGCAGAGTGTAACTGACTGCTACCCTTGATTTCCTATAGCAGTTAGAACTGTACCTGATCCGAGTGGCCTTCTGAGGGATCGTGTCACTCCAGAAAAACAGTGTAGCTAAAGCTCTGTCATTCTGTTTTGTTTCTCTGTACATGCCTTTTCTGCTACTGCAGTAAGCAAACCTGTGATTTTTCATCATGTTCTGGTAAATATTCCCTATTATCAATATCATGAGAATTCCTCATTGCATTGTTGATGTTGAAGACATGGATCTAGGGCTTTTTGCTTCTGTTTTTTGCTTCTGTTTATGATTTTAAATACACTGGTTCAGGTATCTGTGCCTGTATTTTGACCACTTTCAAAACCCAACTCTATAATAAATACACAGTTCTTCACTGCAGAAAGAGAGAACAAATTGCAGGTGATTGAACAGGAATCCTCAGTAGCCAAGGTAACTTAAATGCAGGCATTAATCCCTGACATTAAAGTTACCCTGAAAACCTAACAGCACAGTGAAAAGCTCCCATAGTGTAGCCTGTTTCTGACTCAGACAATATCTACTTAAATATTTTAATTATGATTAGTTTTTCAGTTTTTTTTTTTGTTTTTTCTTTTTTTTGGGGGGGGGGCATGCTGTATCATTTTTCCAACAGGAAGTTAATCCACTAATGCATTACATGTTTGCATATAATGGTAAGCCTTAAATTTCCACCAGTAACCTGGCAGGTACGCTCCTTGTGGTGGAGCATAGCTGGTTACTGCCTGCCAGGTAAACTGAGAATGAAGCAGTGGCTTCGGGCACAGTAAACCGTTTGAGAGGCTTGGAGCACAGAGAAGGGCTGAGTCTCTCCTGACTTGTTTAAATTTAGAAGCCTCACCCTTGAAAGCAGGTGAGGTGAAATAGGGTAGAATTTGGGCGAGTGATGGAATGACCTGATTCACATAGCTTCAGTGTGAGATAATGAAATCATGAGAAACAGCTGTGCTTAGATGGCTTATCAGAAGAGCTTGGGGAAAATGCCAGTGGAAGTTACTGTCTCTGTGGCCTGTGTGCTCGTGGTGGGGACGGCTGCCCCCGGGACGGTGACTTCAGCCAGGGGGAGCTTTTCCGCCTCCCTTCCCGTCCGTCCCGCGCGGAGCCCTGAGCAGGGCGCGGGGGGCTCGAGCTCCTGCGGCCCTGAGGCCGGACATTTCCCATAGGATGTGGTCTCCACACTGAGCTGGGCAGGGGTCAAGGCAAGGATCTGCCATTCCAGAGCCATTTGGAACGGTCGCCTTAGCTGGGTTTTCAAAGGACAATGATCTCGAAGGGAAGGGCTCTGGGGCGGACGCTCGTGCCGGAGCTCCTTGTCTAGAGGCCAACAACTGCGGCCAAAGCCGCCGAGCGCGAAAGCGCCGACCCCCGCGCAGGCAGCGCTGAGCTCCGGCCAGAGGCCGCTCTGACTCAGCGAGGGCGGAGCCGGCGGGAATTCAAAAGCTGCCCCCAGGGAGCGCGAGAGACCAGGAGTGCGGCGCGGTGTGGCAGTTAGTACAGGCAGGGAGCCTCCTCCCACGGTGGAAGAATTCTCTCCACAGAGTCTTCCAGCAGCGGGAGATCAGGTGAAGCCATGGTCTCCGCTCGGCAGAGAGCTTCCACCAGGAAGACTGTGGTGACGCAGGCTGAACCTCCCCAGAAACATGCAGCAGTCCAGGTTTCTGGCTGTAGGGAATGTCTGAGCCTCCCCATGTTACCGGAGAGTAGCGAATACATTGCCTGCCTTAGGTGTAAGCAGGTGGATGATCTGCTCAGCCTGGTGGTGGAGCTAAAGGAGGAGGTAGAAAGGCTGAGAGCCATCAGGGAATGTGAAAGAGAAAGGGAATGAACGCAGCATGTTTTGTACTTTTCTGTCTCTTCATAACTAGGCAAGTCATTATACTTTGGCAGTTACATGATATGAAGGAGGCAGAAAAATGTATGATGGGAATGCTTTCAGTCCTGATTATATTTGTGATATTATTGTTGCACGGCTGAAGCTGGTGACACATATAAATTCTTCTATTACTCAAACTGCCTTGCAGTTATGTCAGACCAACTGTTAAGATGATATAAACTCTCCCTCTGGTATGATTGGGTGATCATCGTGGGTGACTCCCTCCTGCAGGGCATGGAGGCACTGATATGTAGACCGGACCCCTCATCCAGAGAGGTCTGCTGCTTGCCAGGGGCCCGAATAAAGGATGTTACAGAAAGGCTCCCAAGGCTTGTCCAGGAGTCTGACTATTGCCCACTTGTACTGTTTCACATGGGCACAAAGGATGCCACGGGGAAACTGAGGGATATCAAGAATGACTTCAGAGCCCTAGGGATGGCCGTCAAAGGTATGGGAGCCCAGGTAGTGTTCTCCTCTATCCTGTCAATGAGGGGAATGGATTCAAGGAGGAGAAGGCGGATATGGCAGATTAACAACTGGCTGCGCCGCTGGCTTTGGCAACATGGTTTTGGCTTCTATGACCATGAGCTAGCAGGGAATGATGGGATCTATCTCAGCAAGAGGGGCACATGTCTCTTGGCCAAAAGGCTGGCCAGCCTGGTTAGGAGGGCTTTAAACTAGACAAGAAGGGGGAAGGGGAGTGTCACACAGACACAGCGAACAGTACCATGCAGCCGAGGTCAGATGGCTTCCAGCGGGAGTATGGTAGTGGGGAAGTGAGGATAGGAAATGATCACAGAGGGTCCTCTTTCACCCCTCCTGGGAAACCTGTGGGCTCGGTTACTTCCCTGAAATGCCCGTACACCAACGCGCGAAGCATGGAGAATAAGCAGGACGAACTGGAAATCTGTGTGGGGTCCCAGTGTCATGATCTTCTTCTCCTCTGTCTTCAGATCTCTCCTACTCAAGAGTTGTGAAACGGCACCTGCAGAAGCCAGTGAGTGCTCTCACTTAAGGTGTCTCGTGTCCTGGGGGGTAAAGAAATCAGAAAGGTGATGAGGACATCGGGGAACCAAAGGCTCCCAAGTCAATGTCTTTACTGGATTGCAGTAGAGTTTGTGGCTCTCAAAACAACACCTTTGAGCACATCAGGACAAATTTGAGAATACCAAGGACACTTTCTCAGATAAATGAAGACATTGTTATTGTCTATGGAGTTAGGCAGTCCTGCAAAGCGCACGACTGTGTTGCTATCCAGCATTGAGGTCTGTTTTTTTATATCCAAAGTAAACACATTCTATAGAATTAAGGCAGAGTGAATCTTACCATGTTTTGTAGTCCTTTAATGGTCAATCATTTTAGATGGATAATGTTGTCGATAGGACATTGGTAAAGATTGCCCTGAAGTAGTCAGTGAGTTACTTGGTGAAATGGAGCTTCCTTTGTGTGTCTCCAGTCCTATAGAGAGGTTTTGGTTCCCGAGAGATCTGCTTCTCCCTTGCTTGTAATAATCCCAGAATCTGGGAAAGAAACCACACAGGAATCAGGAAAGACACTGCAAACGCTGGCTGCTCAGCCTGGAAGGAGCCTTGCAGCTCTGTCGCCCAGTTTGAAAGAAAGAAGAGGAGCTACAGGATCAGTCTGCTCAGCCGCCAAGAGCTGACATTTTTTCTTTTTTCTTTTTTCTTTTTTTTTTTTAGCAGCAGACGTATTGCCCATTAAAACCTTCTCTATAGAGGAGCTAGTGACTGAAGTGTATTGGGTAAGTAACCACAGACTAGATTTGAAAGAGCTGATAGAGCTGCTGAGATCTGCCCTAACAAACCAGCTGAAATGTTATTACAGAATGACTTCTGATTCCAAGCAGGAATTCAGAGCATTTAAGATAAATCAGAAGCACCTAGTAACAAGAAAATGATACCTGCTGTTGATTTGCTTTCTCCCTCACTGTTGCCATTGCTACAGAACATGTTTTTTAGTGCCTTGGCAGGGAACACCGCTAACTCCCTTCCTTTCTGTTTCTAAAACAACTTCCCCCACAGACAATTGTACGTTTTAATGTTTTTGAGTGCCACAGCGGCCTAGAGATGAGAAGCTTTAACCAGCTACAGCAGCTCCAAGAGGAGCTCCCCCTCGGAGCGCTCCAGTTAAGGGGCGGCTGAGTCGCTCCCATGAGGCGGCCTCGCTGGCGCCCTACAGCCACGAGCTCCTGCGCCATCGGCGCCTTCATGGCTCCCCACACGGTCTGCACAGGCTTCTGAAACGGTGCTTCATGGATCTTCTTAGGCCTATTCTATACCAGCATAGACCAAAGCAATTACTAGGGTTGAATACACTGGTATTTTATCTAAAATGGGCTTTATCTTTATGAATCTGATTCATAAAAGTGAATGTATGTTTCTGTCACAAAGTGCAGCTGAACCAAGCCTTAGAATTCCAGCAGCACGTTGGTCAGATCCTTACTGATGAACAGCCACGAAATGCTGGTGTTAGGTGTTCAGTGGCCAGACTCCATTGCCTTAACTGAAAGCAGTTTACTGCATGAAGTCCCTCAGGAAACCAGAGGAGATCTTCTGCATGGCCTAAAATGGCTCTAGGCAGCCATCTTCAGGCACCTGAGTCATCCCTGTTTGTCAGTACTCGTGAAGGGAGAACTGTGAGGGATCCTTCCCTGTTCTCATGTACGTATGTGGTAGATTTACAGACCTCTGTGGTGGTCTGCTCAGTTCTTCCCTGCTGAAAGCTCCTGTTGCCAGATGCTTTTTAGAGGGTCTTCCCATTTACGGAAACAGACTGCAGGT